ACAAGCTTTCTCTGTCTGTCTCCAGACTTCAGCCTTTCCCTCCCCAGCGTGAGACTCCTGGGGCAAGTCCAATGCCTTGGGTTCCGTTGTCTCAGTGGTCTGATTGCCAAAGAGAGGCTCACAAGTGTGTCTTCTGGATATCTTCTCTCTTGACAGAACTCTTTCAGAAGACCAGGCCAAGGTCTATCTATACCAGTGGTTCTCAGACTTCCTAATGCTGTGACCCTTTAATTCAGTTCCTTATGTTGTAGTGATCCCCAGCCATAAAACCATTTTCATTGTTAGTCAGGCAGTGGTGGCACACACTTTTAATCATGGCACTTGGGAAGCAGAGTCAGGCTGATTGCTGAGTTCGAGGTTAACCTGGTCTATAGAGTATGTTCCGGGATAGCCAAGACGACACAGAGAAGCCCTGTCCCAAACAAACAAAAAATAATAATAATAATTTTTTTCTTGTTACTTCATAGCTGTCAATTTGCTGTTATGAATTATAATGTAAATATCTGTGTTTTCCAATGATCTTAAGAGACCCCTGTAAAAGGGTCATTTGACCCCCAAAGGGGATGAAATGCACAGGTTGAGAACTGCTCGCTTAGACTGTCTTCCCTTCCCCTCACCCCCCCTCCTAGATGATTCAAGGCCTGGTCATTGGGAGATTGAGCACCCGTTTTCCAGAGGAAGCCCTGCTGCGATCCAGTGTGCTGGTCTTTGCTGTTGTAGGACTGGGCATGGTGAGAGCACATACATACAAAGACACACACAAGCATACGTGCACACACACAGCTACCCTGTGAAGCAGGTCTCAGGCCATCCTCCACACATGTCTTGTGTGTGCCCAAGTGCCTGGCCTGCCACCTGGCACTGTCCCTCCTCCCCAGTCCAGGCATCTTCCAAGGTAGAGCATTGTGGGTAGGACCTCAGGGTGGGTTGCTGTCTAGCTTTGGAACATCCCTACCCAGCATGGCCCTGCCCATTACTCTGCCAGGCGCTGATGTCCAATGTGCTCCACTTCTGCATTTTGACACCTGGACTGGTATTCAGTCTCTGTACTCTCAACGTAGTCACAGACAGCATGTTGACCAAGGCTGTGTCCGCTTCAGACACAGGTGAGCTGAACATACCGGGGGCCCAACTTTCAGGATTCCTCCCAATAGGCTGGGCCAGATAAGATGGATGTGACAAGACAAAAGAGTCCTGGTAAAGATCCTGCCCCCTTCCCAGTGCTGCTGACAAGTCCATAGTCAGTCAGGGGTACAGGTGGAGAGCTTCCTGGAGGAGGCATTTGGCTTGGCTCTGATCCATTCCAGAATTTCACTAAAAAGAGGTGAGTCCAGAGGCTTTGTCCAGGCAGGGGTCAGATGAGCAAAGAAATGGACCTGCAGGGCCTACAGAGGCCACGTAGGAGGTCAGCTGGTGCTGGGATGGTGAAGAGTCCAAACAGGGAGGACAGCAGGAGAGACTTGCCAGTCCTTGACAACACAGTGCTCAGAGCTTTCTGAATAGAGGGTTCAAATCCACACAGCTAGGGATATCTTCTGGGCCTGACCTCCAAGCCTGTCTAGGGTAGTTACTCCATGCTGTCTGGGAAGCAGCTCCAAAGGACTGAGAGAGAAGGAGAGAAGGAGGAAGGGGGTGTTAAGGCCAGGCAAGTGGAGGGTGGGGCTGACCAGGAGGAGCAGGCCAAGCCACCAAGGCCGAGTCATGCCTGTGGCACCACCCCTTAGCTTGGGAAGAGCCAAGCCTGGGTTACCTGGGAACAGGAGGTGCAGAGGAGGCAGTAATTGCCCTGTCAGTTAATGTCTGCAGGCGTGTGGGCAGTGAGAGAGACTGCACCTGAGCTTCCCCACAGCAGGCCCTGGGTGTGGGTGGAGCCTTACAGGCCCTCGGCTTGGCCGAGTTGAAAAGCCTGGTCTCAGGAGGCAGGGAGGCCACCTTCTGAAGCAGGAAGAGGCTGGGGTGGGGGGGTAGACTGGGACTCCCATCTGGGGATGCAAGGTGAGATGGGGATTCTGTCAGTGAGGGCCCTCCTCCACTCACAGCTGCTTTAACAAGGTCCTGTGCAGCACGTCCACCCTAAGAAGCTGACCAGAGGTGTGGAGATATGGACTCACATGCTCAGGCTAGGACACTGGTGCTCTTAGCTTGGGACCCGTACACATCTCTTTAGCCTGCCCGCAACCCTGGCCCTGCCCTGAGACCCATTGAATCCATGGGAGGACGGTGGAGGGACAAGAAGAGGAAGGGCTATATGAGGGGCAGTAGGGACACCATGCCCAACTAGAATGCCAACCCTAGAGCCGTACAGTGGCTCAGGGGACCCTCCCTAGCCAAATTCACTGGCCATCTCAGTCACTGTTTGGAGAAAGTGTGAGAGCCAGCACCCTGGATGTCCTGGGTGGAGCCCAAACTATGCAGATCAGGTCTACACTAACAGGTCTGGGAGGGTGTGGCCTATTCCTGACCTTTGACCCCTTTCCCAGACTCCTTCCTTACCTGGGAAATAGCTAGAGCAGGAAAGAGGCTCAGCCCCATCCATACAGAGAAACTGACCTTGTGGGATGAGGATGATCTGCTTAATTGGGGTGGGAGGGTGCTGCAGTCGAGGGGCAGCTGTGAGGAGGATGGACAAGTCCTCTGGAAAGTGTCTCAAGCCATCTGTGAACAATGCGCAGAGCAGGTTGGGATGGACAGAAGGCTGGGCTATAGCCAGAAGGTAGGCAGCCTGTCCAGAGACCTGCCTAGGGTCTGATTGCTATTCCCCCTTTCTCCCAGGGACCATGCTGGGCCTCTCTGCATCTGTGCATCCATTGACCCGCACTCTAGGACCCACCCTAGGTGGCCTGCTGTACCGTAGCTATGGTGTCCACATCTTTGGCCATGTGCAGCTCATGGTGAACTTGCTTGTCCTATTGATCCTCTGGAAGAAGCCATTGTCCCAGAAGGGAGACAAAGCCCAGTGACCACAAAGCCCAGTGACCTGGTCCAGTCAGGCAATAAACTTAAGAACCTCTTTCTCTTAAGTCCTTTGGGCTTTGCCTAGATCTGTGGGTAGCAAACCTGGGGGGACTCAAGGATGGAGCCAAACCAGAGGGCTTTGTGAAGGAGGAACTACAGCTGGGCCCAAGGCTCTATCTAGAGAGCATAGACTTGCCAGTTCCAGATCATGAATCCAGGTCGGTTTAAAAGACAGGGGCCAGTTGTGTTGGTGCAGGCCATTAATCCCAGAAATCAGGAGGCAGAGGCAGGCAGATCTCTGACTTCAAGGTCAGCCTGGTTTGTATACTAACTAGCTAGTTCTGAGTCAGCTAGGGCTACATAGTGAGACCTTGTCTTTAAAGGGAAGAGGAGGAAGAAGAGGAAGAAGAGGAGGAGGAGGAAGAGGAAGAAGAGGAGGAGGAGGAAAAGGAGGAGGAGGAGGAAAAGGAGGAGGAAAACAAGGCTTGAGAGGGAGCTGTTAAAAACCAAGCACATAGCCCCACCACCACCTTCAGAGCTGCACCAGGGACACTCACTGGCCTGGCCCATCAAGCCTGGTCTACAGAGAGAGTCCCAGGACAGCCAGGGTTACACAAGAGAAATCCTGTCTTGAAAACAAAACAGGTACACACACACAATTAATAAAATGTAATTAAAAACAAACAAGCAAACAAGCTGGGCTTAGTGGTGCACACCTTTAATCCCAGCACTCCAAAGGCAAAGGTAGGTGGATAGGTCTCTGAGTTTGAGGCCAGCCTGTTCTACAAAGTGAGTTCCAGGACAGCCAGGGCTACACAGAGAAACTTCGTCTCTAAAAAACAAAAACAAACAAACAACAAAGGACCCAACGACCTTAGAATCCTCAAACATCAGAACTCCACAGTCCCTAAACCGTGGGACCCATCCATTGTCCACCTGCCACCTCAGGACGCAGTGTTCGTTTAGACCACACCAGCAGCAGAGGCTGGTGAGCTTGGTCTTTTGACCATAAAAAGATGTGGTGGGGGAGGTCCTTAAACAAGTGGTATGGAAGGGTCCTGGGACCTGCTATCACTCCTGCTCTTAGAAAGCCCCTCCCTCATTCGCTCTAACAGACAATTCCTTGTAAGAAAAAAACAACTCTAGTCTGAAGCCTTCCTTCTTAAGGAAAAAGGGGGGATTCTCCCTCTGCCAGTGCTGGCTTCCAAGGCCAAGCTGGAAGGCGTGTGACACCCCCATCTTCATGGCATTCCTATAGTCAGAGAGGCCCCGGATGGATGATACCTGCTTGGGCAGGGACTCAGTGTCTGTCTTTCAGCCTTTTGGGGCTTATCCTCCAGTAAAACCTTGGAGGAAGAGATTTACTTCTGTCACAGGCTGCCTGCCTACCTGACACAGACTTTGAGTCTCTACAGGAACACAGCCAGGTGAGGAGTCAGAGTTGATACCTACCTGGCGAGAAGTGGGGTAGAGGTAGGACAGATGTCTGGGGAGCTCCCAGACTTCACACCGGGCCACGGCTTTGGGTCTCACTGCTCTATCATTGGAGACAGCCAGGCCTGCCTCCCATCTTTGACAAAAGTTGTACACAGTGTGCTATCCCTGTTCCTAGGCTCTGGACAGGAGGGCTATCTCAAGCCACTGTGGTCCAGTGATGGGGGTTGTCAATGAAAACAATCAGTGGTCCTTTGAATCTACTGCTGGTCAGACCGTCTGTGGGTGGGAGGGAAGAATGAGGGCAGCCACCCTAGTGAACAGAGCAACCTGTCAGATGTCCAGGAGGTGCTAACTAGTGAACTCTGAGCAATCCCGGCCACCAGCGGTATCCTCTCAAGCCACACCCAGGAACAAAAGGTGGCCGAACCACACCCAGAGTACTTCCTGACCTGGAGAGGCTGTGAGCCCCACTGCCAGAAGACAGTTCATTCAAAGGCACTTTGAATGGTTCCTGGGATGTGGAGAGGGAATAACACTAGATAGGAGACCCTTTCACTGTCCCACCCTTCCACATATGCGCCCCAGCAGAAACTACGCGAACCACACAGTTTAAAAAAAAAAGAGAAATGGCATTGTTTATTTGGAATGAAAATATGGTATAAAAAATATTAACACGGAATGGTGGGTTGGAAGTAGGTAACCAATATAAATACGGTCCAATAAGTTAGCGCACCCGCACAGCGGGGGCAAGGCTCAGCAAGCACGGGAATATCTTCGGTGAAGAGCAGCGGCGGCGTCACCCGGGGCATCCATCCCCTGGGCTCCTGGGCTCCTGTCTGATGCGGCAGCGTGGGCTGGTTCCCGGCTCAACTGGTCCCGTGCGTTTCTGTAGGGAGAAGACTGAGTCAGGAGCTGCCCGGGTGCAGCCTTTAAGTCTCCAGGTGGGGCGAGGAGCTCCTACCACGCGTCCCAGGTCCCCTCTCCAAAGGGTCTTTCAAAGTCGTAGGATTTCTCCCCCCTCCCCCCGTAGCTTTTAAAATCGAAGTTTTCCCTACTGGGAGGCATGACCCGACCCCCATCCATTCACCCCCATGCCCGGTAGTCCGATGCCGCGGACGAGGGCGGTACTCACCACGGACCCAGAGCTCTCCGCTCTCCCGGCTCGGACTGCGTTTCAGACGCAGAGCGCTGATATCGGTAGCGGCAGCGGCGAAAGTCTTCCAGCGCCCGACGGTTCTGGAAGTCGATCAGCGCCATGGTGATGGCCGCATTCCAGCAGCTCCGGCCTGTGCAGCGGAAGTCGATCTCCTTGTAAAAGTTGGTGACGATGGTGAAGTACACGTACTTGGAGGTGTGCTCCACGCAGTCCACCTTGAGGATGGTGTTGAAGCACAGCTCCTTGACGCGCCCGCTGTTCCCGGAGAAGAGGCGCAGGCGGTCGGCGGTGAGCACGCAGCGCTTCTTCTTCCAGACCTGGAACAGGCTGTCGCTTCGCTTCTCCAGCTCGCCCTCGCAAAGAATCTCGTCGGAGGTCTTCTCGGTTTTGTTCGAAGCCATTTCGAAAGGTTGCACCAAATGCGCTCGCACTGCTGCGGGCCGCGGCCTCGGCGTGGTCTTTATAAGGACTCCGCCCCGCGGCCCAGACACGCCCCGAAGTCGGGCACTCTCCTACCCAGGCAGCCTCTCGGAGCTGACCCCCACCAACCGCCCCAGGCTGCCCCTTACCCATTGCTTAAAGCTACCGCTTATCGGAGGACGGAGGGTGGGGGGCGAGAACTGCTTGGCGCCTCACTGACGGGAGCCCCAAGCCTTCCCTCCAGCCCCAACGTCCCAGCTGCCAGGTGGAGTGACTTGCAGTCCCCTCCCCGCCCGGGCTCCGGCCCTGCCTGCAGAGGAATGCACCTCAGCGGTCCCTGCCCGATGTGACTCACGTGGCGGGAAGCCCCGGGAAGTGCCCCGACCCCTAGACGGAACAACAACGCTCAGAATCCCACTCACGGGGAGACCGAAGACTCTTGAGTACGAGGATCGTGGATCTACTGGGTTTTTCCACGCCCTGGCCACCGTCTCCTCCCACCTTGGGCGAGCATCCAAAGGCCTCCCACTAGACTTTCTTGGGAAGTAGCCCTGCCGCAACTGGCTTTATCACCCAAGTTGCTCCCCAGAGTTGTGCCTCGAAATTATCTGAGTTTCTTTTCCCTTCTGTAAAATGGGACAATGACCTTTGGTAAGTTAGGCAGTGAAGCAGTGGAAGGAGGAACAGCACCCTGCAGTGCTCAGCCACGTGGAGAGAAAGGCCTGCCTCCTTCCTTGTGTGCCCCAATCTAGGCAACAGACACCTCGGGCTGCGACAGTACAACTCCGACATGCTGGAAGCTCACGGGGGCTAGCAAAGCTAACTTCGGGAATTCGGGGACCGACCTAAGGGCCAGGGGCGGCGGGGGCGGCTGAGTCATCGCCTTTCAGTACACGATTTTATTTACCCTCTGCCTTTAAAGGTTTAATAGTAGCAGGAAGCAGACGCTGCTCCTCCAGGGTTCCCAGGGATGGGGGAGGGACCCCAGGAGTCCCCTGCTACGGTGGGATGGGGCAGGGGTGCTGAGGTGGGATAGGGGACAGAGGCGCTGCAAGAAAACTCTCAGCCCCACCCCCTACCTCCACCCCCACCGCTACTCCTACCCCCACCCCCACCCCCGGCTGCTGGAAAACCAGACACTGTGTTTCTAGGCGGGCTGGCTCCCAGTGAAAACTCAGGTTCCTCCATTTAAACAATTAAGACTGGCAGCCTAAAACTCCAGTTCGGTGGCCTGGTTTTGTTCTAAGGCAAATTTATACCGCAGTGAGGAGGCTGAGGCAGGAAGGACCCATTTAGGTCAGTCTAAGTTTTACAGCGAGGCCGAGACTAATCAAAGGCACATAGCAAAACTGAACTAAGAGAGCTGGAGAGGTGGCTTGGCGCTTAAGAGTGCTTGCTGTTCCTGCAGAGGACCTAAGTTTGGTTCCTGCTCCAGTTGGGTAACGCACAACCAGAACCATCTGTAACACCAACTCCAGGGAGCTCTCTCCGGCCCTCCCCTCCCCCTAGAACACACATACATACCATTAAAATAAAAATAAATCTTAAAAATAAAAAGAAACTTGAGACTGGACCAATGAACTCCGGGGTTAAGAGTACTTGCTGGTTTTTCAGAGGGCCTGGGTTGGGTTCCCAGCCCCTACAGGAGTCATCTATGACCCCAAAGGACGTCTTCTTCTGATGCCCTCAGGCACACATGCAGGCATGTAGGCAGGCAAAGCACTCAAACACATAAAATGAGCTAGTTTTTATAAATGTAAATATAAAACCACAAAAAGAGAGCTGGCAAGATGGTTCAGTGGGTACAGACACATGCTTTCCACTGTGCTGGCTTCAGTGTGATTCCTGGTATCAACATGGTGGAAAGAGAGAACCTGAGGCCCTTAGATTGTCCTCTGATCTTTGTGCATATGCGTGCGCGCGCACACACACACACACACACACACTGTATGCTTGAGTGCAGAGAGAGAGAGAGAGAGAGAGAGAGAGAGAGAGATCATAAGTATTGTTTAAAAAAATCTTTAAATAAAGAAATGAACAAAGCCATTGTGGACCTCCCCGCTGGCTCTCACTGTGTGTTCCACAAGTGGCCCCCACTCCCACTCCCGTTTCCAATACACACAGAGTCCTGACTTCCAGGGTCCCTGAAGAAAAATGAGCCTCACAAGCTCTCCCCAGGCCCTGAGGGGTGTGTGGAAGAGCAGTCCAGGATACCTACAGAAGAAAGGAGTAAAAATACAGAGAGACCCAGCCAGCCCTGCCTGCCTCAGATGAGAGCAGGCCAGAGAGTGGATGGGAGAGTGATCTTGAAGCCCTTGGGTAAGATAGGTAGTGACTTCACACTGGAGGTGTCCCAAACCTGACCAGTGGCAGGCTAGAAAAACTCCTGGAGAGGGCCAGCTTTCCTTAGTGTCCCTTCCCCAGGCTGCTTAGATGCAGCATGGCCTGTGCTGCCCTTTCATCTGTTTCCAGGAGCCACTCTACAAAGTTGAAAGTTCAGGGAAGGAACAGGGACTGTCTCCAGCTGCCCTGGGCCCCCATTCCTCAGCATTCCAGCCTGTTCTCCATGCTCTGTGCAGCTCAGTGGAGCTCTTGCTCCAGGCCTCTCAGACATCTGGGGCTGCTCAGGCACCTCTGCATGCTAGCCTGCATGCTGGAGCGGCAAAGGAAACCCTTCTTCCCAGTGGAGGCACTGACCATGGGAATGAGAACAGGGATCTGGTGCTTATGAGGATCTGGGAAGGGTCCCCAGAAGATCATGGGGGGCGGGGTCATAGCGGGGCAGGGTTTGCTATCTAAGCACCAGGCACTGGCCTAACTAACACCACCATCCCAGAGATACAGACTGAAAGTTCTAACCTGCGTCACTGGAGAACAAGCGCAAGGGACAGAGGGCCTGGCTGACCCCAAGGGCAGAGGAGGAGGGTGAGCACTCAAAGAGAACAGAGCAGGTGACTGGGGCTGATCCCTAGCACCCCAACTCCTTTCTTTACCTGGAAGCCCCACTGCTCTATGGAAGTTAGGACTGACCCAAGAGCAGGGTCCTGCAGTGGGGGAGGAAGTGGGAAAGGGAACTGGGAGGCCGTGCATGGAACACAGCCCTCTGTTCATCATCCTCCTGAGATCTCTATGTCCACAAACACCAGGCCCCTCAGACAAAGTCCAAACTGGGTGTGAGATGTGACAGTTTCTGCTGAGCTGCTGTCCAGTTGGGTAGAGCTGACCAACAATGCTAGACCCTCTGTCAACAAAGAGTCCCGTGGCTGGTCACCAGACAGCTGTTAGACTTCCTGTGGTCGCGCATGGCCATGTCAATAAGAATCTAGTTGGTACCTTGGATTATGCTCCTGGGTAGGTAAAGACTTTCTTAAAGACACCCTAGGGAACAGCTGCCCTACACAGGCACTCTGAAAGAGCAGTGTTGTGTCAGGGTTACATTGCCAGGAAGGTTCTTCTGTCCCCAACTCTCAGAGACCATCTGAGTCTCCTGAGTAAGGGTTCTGAGATGCCTACTTCTCAGGCTGTTGGATTAGGCATCAGGAAATAGCCCAGATGAGAGGCACTGGGACCCCAGACCTTTTTGTTGTTAGTATGCTGAGACAGGATCTTATGCAGTCCAGGCTGGCCTTGAACTTGCTGTGTAGCAGAGGACAACCCTAAACCGTTACTCTTTCTGCCTCCACCTGTTAAGTGTTGGTATTACAGGTGTTCGGGACCATCCTGGTTTTATGCAGTACAGCTCAAACACAGACCTTTGACCAGCGCCCAGTACCCTCTTTTAATTTTTAATTTCTTTTTACTTCTTTTTTATTTATTAGAAAAAAATCAGCAGCCAGGGCTACACAGAGAAACCCTGTCTCAAAAAACCAAAAAAAAAAAAATCAGTGTTATATTTTATAAAAAGAAAGAGAAACCAGGAATAAGTTTGGTGGAGGTGTGTTAAGGTGTGGGGGAAGGGGTGCCTTTGCCAGCCACACGACGGTATAATATAGAATAGAGTTTATTCAGGGCATAGAGAAGAAGGCAGAGAGAGAGAGAGAGAGAGAGAGAGAGAGAGAGAGAGAGAGAGAGAGAGGAAGAAGAAGGAGGAGGAAGAGGAGGAAGAGGAGGAGGAGGAGGAGGAGAGAAGAGGAGAAGAGAAGAGAAGAGGCAGGCGATAAGCACGTGGAGGGGGAAGGGAGTGTGGGAGAGAGAGAGTAAGGAGCTGGAGCAAGAGCAAGAGAGCAAGAGTTAATTTTTTTTTTTTTTACAGTATTTGTACTTGTCTCTGTATGTGCACAGGTGTGCCTGTACCACAGCACATGGAGGAAAAAGGACGAGTCCAGGAGTTTGTGCTCTCCTTCCACCATGCGTTCTGGGGACCCAATTCAGGTCGTCAGGCTGTTACTTGTCTTTATTTGTTGAGCTGTCTTGAAGGTCTCACCCAGCCCCCCAGTTCCTTTTATACAAATTCTTAAAAAAAAAAACCTTTTAAATTAAGAGCTGGAGAGATGGATCAGGGTTAAGTGAACAGATTGCTTTTGTAGAGGATTGCGGGTCAGTTCCCTACGGGGCAGCTCATAACAGGCTAACTCCAGTTCTAGGAGATCCAGCACCCTCTTCTGGCCTCCTCAGGCACTGCATACACGTGGTGCACGGATGTCTATACAAGCCAGCATTCATAAAATCACAGAATCAAGATAAACATTTTTAAAAAACCTTTAAATTTTAATTAATTAGATGATTCTGGACATCAAACTCTAGGCCCTGAGTGCCAGACAAGAGCTCTACTGAGATATACCTTCGTGCCCTGCTACTCTTTTCTGAAACAGGGTCTCAGGGAGACCAGGTTGGCCTGGGATTCAGGAGGCATAACCTTCAACGGAGCCTCCATCCTCCTTCCACTTGCCAAGAGCTAGGTTTACCGCTGCACAGTGCTACTCCTGTTCTTATGCAGGGATAGGGCTTGAACCAGTCACACGCACACTACACAAGCACTCTGCCAACTGAATTCTATCACTCAGGTTCCCGACAGCCAAGAGCAACCCTAGTACAAAGATCAGGCCTCACTTTCTTACGAGGACAAACTTTGGTGTGGATCGGGCTGTGCTCCTGGGAGGGATGCTGAACCTGGGCTCTAGGTCAGCTGACACCCAAAGAGGGTCCAGTGTGGCCCTGCTCCATGCTCAAGCTGGGGTCTTCTCCTTTCCATTTTGATTACACTACAAGGAAGCTGTGGGGTCAAGGCAGGGAGCTCAGAGAGGCAAAACGACTCAACTAATGGGACACAGAAGTGCATAAGATTCAAACCCAAAAAGTCTAACTAAAGGCTGAAGAGATGGCTCAGCAGTTAAAGCACTGGCTGCTATTCAGAGAGCCTAGGAATTTGATTTGTTCACAGTACCCACAGTAGGCTGCTCACAACTGCCAGTAATGCCTGGGTATCGGATGCCCTCTTCTGGCCTCCATAGGTACTGCATACATGTGGCATCCAT